GAATTTCTCCCTCTGTTGAAATCCCTGTATAGCAATCCCAAAGCGGCCTGAAGAGGGGAAGTTATATCCACTTCGGCCTACAGGGGGCTGTGAAGGGAAGGGGGATGTTCCCATCCTTAGTCTTAGGGTGGCTTGGGTGATTATGAGCCTCATATATGAATATGAGGCTCAGAGCTTGTGTGTGTGTGTGTGTGTGTGTGTGTGTGTGTGTGTGTATGTGTGTATATATATATATATATAGAGAGAGAGAGAGAGAGAGACAGAGACAGAGAGACAGAGAGAGAGAAAGAGAGAGAGAGGTCTTGCTCTGTTGCCCAGGCTGGCAGTGGCACAATCTTGGCTCACTGCAGCCTCTATCTCTCATGCTCAAGCAATCCTCCCACCTCAGCCTCCTGAGTGGCTGGGACCACAGGAACACACCACCATGCCCTGCTAAGTTTTGTATTTTTTGTAGAAACAGGGTCTTGCTTTGTTTCCCAGGCTGGTCTCCAACTCCTGGGCTCAAGCAGTCTGCCTGCCTCAGCCTCCCAGGGCTGGCATTACAGGCAAAGCTCATATTTTTGTTTTAGCATCTTTTAGAGCTGTGTTTTTCAGACTTTAGTGACTGGAGGGGAACCTTCATGATTTTTGCCACATCTGAGTGCCACTTGTATCATTAGCATTTTTCTTTAACTCATAGTACACACACACACACACACACACACACACACACACACCCCTACCTATTTAAAGGGAATTTTACATTCTTACTATAAATGGAACACTTGTAGTACTCGTTATTAGCAGAGCAGCTATACAAGTGAAATGAAACATGGCAATGTTATCATGTTGTAGCTAGAGTTGCCTGTGAAAGGTTTTGAGCCCCAGGTTTGCTTTTTTAAACAGGAATGCTACCAAATGCTAGAGGGGCGTTAACCTCCTCCCCACCCATCTGCCACATTTTTGGTGACCAGATGTAGCTACCATTTAAAGGGCACATTATAATCAGACAGGAATGAGGACAGGAGAGGAATGACTTTCTCACTCTGCGTTTAGGGTGCCAGCTAAGATTATCTCAGGTTCTGCCCAGGGTTACCGAGGGTTTCCCTGGACCTCTCCAGGAGGAGTTTTTCCCTGGCCACTGAATTAAAGCGTTCCTCTCATCTCATTCCTGACTGTCCTTTGCCCAGAGCACACTGCCATCGGACATCTGCTCCACTGCAGCCACATTCTCCAGCCCACGGGGGGAAAACAGATGGAGTTGTGGGAGATGGAGGGTGCTGATGTTGCCCAGAATAGTCCATCTTTAATGAGGCAACCCTAGAAGGATTGTTTCCATATTCCTCAGGGGAGCTACAGAGACTTTTCCTGAATGACTATGAGACAACCCCAAGCATGAGAACCAACAGGGAATTCAAGCTATGCTTCTGCTGTGGACACTTGTTAAATGATTTTCTCAGTTCCACACACTCCCCTGCCTTCTAGGCTTGTGTGTCCAGCTGTCCATTGGTCCTCCCCATTTGCAGACCTAGTGGGTATCTCAAACTTAACCTGCTCAAACAAAGCAGCAACTTTGATTTCCCCCACAAACCAGCTGCTCTCTCAAGTCCCTTCGCAGTCAAAGGCACTGCCAGTTTCCAGATGCTCAGGCCCAAAGCTTACATTCCCTTTTCTTGTCCTCCCACTCCAGATCCAACTCAATCATCTGTCCTGTTGGCTCCACCTTCCCAGAATATCCAGAATCCAGCGACCTCTGCCACCCTCCTGGTCCGGTCTGTGCTCCCACCATCTCTTGCCTGGATTACCCCAAATTCCTCCTAGCTGGTCTCCCTCCTCCTCGCCATTCGCCACACACCAAAGCCAGAGTGATCTTTTGAAGACTTAAATGTGATTGCATCACCACTTGGCTCAAAATCCCCCAGTGGCTTCTCATGATACTCAGAACAAAATCCAATCTCCTTCATGCTTTGACTCTCCCCTTCCTTCCCTCATGATACTCAGAACAAAATCCAATCTCCTTCATGCTTTGACTCTCCCCTTCCTTCCCTCTCCTGACCTCACAACTTCTGCCCTGGCTCAGCACACGCCAGTCAGCCAGAGCCAAGCCAGGCTGGCTTCTTTCTGCCGCTCTGACACTCCGTCCCACCTCAGGGGCTTTGCCCTTCTGTTCTCCCTGCCTGGACCACTCTCCCCTGATCCTCACATGGCTCTGCCCATCAGCTAGAATTGATTGGAATATAAATAATAATGGTGAACCAATTACTGAGTGACTACTGTGTACCAAACATTATTTGATGGGTTTCACATGTGTTACCTCATTTGCTCCTCACAAGAACTCTTTGAAGTAAGTACAATTATTATCCTCATTTTGGAGATGAGGAAACACAGAGAAGTTAAGTAACTTATTCAAAGTCGCACGGATACTAAGAGGTAGAGCTAGAATTTGTGTCCATGAAGTGTGGCTCCCGAGTCCACAAGCTTAATGTCTGACTTCTGCCTCTATTTACTTTTTCACTGAGATGCATCTTATGTAAGCAAAGTGCACTGATTCCCAATGCGCAGATCAGCGAATTTCTGCATGTGTTACATCTGTGTATCCACCTCCCGGACCTAGAGCCAGACTTGGCCAATGTGCCCCAGGCCTTTTCTATGCCTTCAGTCAGTTCCCTCAAAAGAAACTCCTGGGCCAACCCCTGTCACTATTGATTGATACTGGGAAAGACTGTCTTTTATCTAATCCTGTTTGTTTTTAAAAAAAGTGCTGAAATACCTTTTGTTTGTTCTTCAATGCTCTTGCTTGAGTCAGTGAAAAGAAAATTAAAATATTTCATGGACTGGGGTGGGCACAGTGGCTCATGCCTATAATCCCAGCACTTCGGGAGACTGAGGCAGGCAGATCACTTGAGCTCAGGAGTTCAAGACCAGCCTGACCAACATAGTGAAACCCTGTCTCTACAATTTGTTTTGAAAAGTGAGTATAGTGACACATGTCTATAGTCCTAGCGGCTTAGAAGGCTGAGATGGGAAGGTGGTTTGAGCCCAGGTGTTTAAGGCTGCAGCGAGCTGTGATCACCACTGTACTCTAGCATGGGTGACAGAGTGAAACCCTGTCTCAAAAACAAAAGTCTGTTAGTACCAAATTTGGGAAGCAGCAATGTAGAGCTCTCGCCCCCATCCTGCCTGCCTCAGCAGTACCTTCCTTAGTCTCCTAGATTGAGGGAGAGGTGGGCTGTTTGGGGACAATCCTGATGTTTGTCATAGCGCTGGGCCTGTGGCGGGCATTTAGAACACCTGCTGATGGGTCTACCACCTGTGGCAGATGCTGCATTCCTGCCTTTGGAGTTCCTGGAGATGGGGCTTTCTTTGTCTAAGGACTAAGCACCAAGTTGCTGGACAGTGAGGTCAGATGCTCCGGGCTGCCAGCCTTATACCAGGAACTGTCCCTCGCTTTCTGGGGGTCCCTGGCTGGACTCCCACTACTGAGCCCATTCTCATTCAGATACTCCACCTCCATCATGTTCTCCAGGCTGTGGCCCCTCCCCACATTCCACTAGACCTACCTCTACCTCTGGCCTTTCTCTTCTTCCTGCTTGGGGCAGTCCAGGTTCAAAGCTATGGGAATGTCACAGTCTAGGAATGAGGGCTTTCATCTGAAGGGACGGGTGCAGTTCAGAAGGGAGAGAAATCCACAGGTGCTTCTTTGCAAGTGGGGTTGGGCTCAGCATCCTATTAAGTATTGCACTTGAGAGCCCCAGAGTGCTCTGTGTCCTGGTCCTTCCATCCATGTGCATACACACACACACACGAGCACATATACCCACATATGCATGCGTGTGCATGTGCGCGTGCACACACACACACACACACACACACACACACACACACACTTCCTAGTGTAGGGCCAGGAGCGGGTGCTAACAGTTGGGTGACCTGTATTTCCAGTCTGAGGATCCCTCTCCACCTTCTGCCATTTACCACTAACCCCCTCTGTAGTTTCTCTCCAAAACTTTGAAACACTCAGAGGTGCCTGGGAGCCAAAGCATGTTTTTACCTTGACAAATACAGCAGAGAAGAGAGACAGCAGGGAAGTGAGAGATAAAGAGCTGGAGTACAGAGCCAGGCTGAGGATGCAGGGGGCAGGCTGCCAGGACGCAGAGCTAGGCCAGGGAAAGACACCATCCTCCACAGGTTAAAGCTGCTGAGGGACCTTTGAGTGTGCACATGGCCCAGCAAGTGTGGGGCAGCCCTGGCTTTGCCCTAAAGGAGGCTGAGAAGCAACTTTCGGACTGGGGATGTGGCGGGGTCCTGGGTCCCTCAGATGATACTGCCACTTCCCCTCCATACCCATCTCACTCCATGTGGCCAAACTGGCCACAAGCCCCGAGGTTCCCCGGCCTCCTGGGGAGAGACCAGGAGGGGCAGGATAAGGATAGAGAGACTTAGGGGCCCAGCCTGCATGGTGAGAATCCCTCTCAGACCTGTAGCTATCTCCCCAGCTCCGGCCCAACCTAGCACTCGCTCAGAACTTCACAGGCTCAGACTTCCCAATCCCTGGCCTCTCCACTCCTGGGGCCTTTCCCCAGGTGTCAGCAGCAATTTCCTGGCAGGCCTGGTGAGAGGAGCCCGAGCCAGCCCAGGGGAAACCCAATGCCGTGGTGTCAGCAATGAGTGTCCTTCGGTGTCTGGGGAATGGGGCTGAGAATGTGCAGAGCTGAGCAGCTCGAGGGGGCAGGGAGGACTGCCACTACCCCCGCCCCATGAACTACTGCTCCTTCCACACTTAGTGGAGATGACTGTGCCCACTCCTCTTGCACCCAAGGCCCTGGCAGAGACACCTCTTTCCTGCCTTATCACTGGAACAAGGCTGGGAAGAATCACCCACACCTGGGAGACAGTGCCTGGGTGGGCAGTGTCCTGCTCTGGTCAAGCTCATCCTTCTCTCCCTATAGTGATGTAAGGATGATGCTTTGGGGTGGAGTCAGAAGGGCCTCACCCCTTCCCCTCCCCATTCTAATCTAACACCAGCATTCAGGGAAAAGTCTTCATCTCAGGCTCCATTGATGGCCAGCAGTTCACATCTTCTGCCTTTGGTTTTGCCTAGTTGCTAGGTCTGTGCGGTGCACCCACCTTCTCCTGGGGGAGGCCTGGGTCTCCTCTCTCCTCTCTATCCCCCTTAAAGTCAGCAGTTCTAAGAACTGGCCCTCCAGCATAGAGGCTGGTCACACTCATGTGTGATCTGCACCCTGCTTCCTTTCCCTTTGCATCTGTGTGCTCTCTGTACCTGGGGCCGTGCTAAATACCAGACAGAATCTGTTTGTGGGGGAATCAGACTGGAAACCTCTGTCATAGAGTGAGAGAGAGGCTGCAATGAAGAAAATGCTGGCTTTAGGGCCAAGCATTCACCCTATGATATTGTGAGCTTGGGAGATTTGTCAATGGTACACATAACAGCATACCCCAAATGAGATATTTTGTCTAATTGCCTCTTAACAAGTTTGGATGCAGTAGTTACATTAAATACATAGATTCAAAATTTACATTTGGTATCCCTAATCTATTCAGTCTTTTCCTAGGTCATGCACATGGCCCCCACCCTTGGAGCAGAGCAGGGGCTAAGTTAAGGTTTGATTAACTGGATTGGACTGACTGACGGTGGGAGCGGGAAGATGAGATAACTCATGGATGCAGGAGACACTCTGAGAAGTGAGACTGGTCTCAGGCAGGAGGCGCTTGGAGATGCATCCAGGGTCTTGGGACAGTGGGCAAGGGGCCATTGTTTGGCCTGGTCCTGGTTGATGTCAGGTTCTCTTTTCTCCTGGTTGACAGGCCCTTCGTTGTTGTTGCTATTAGAACTTGCAGGGGCTGGCCCAGTGTGTCCCCTGCTTCCCTTCGTCGGATGTCTTCTCTGCCTGGGGCATAGCTGTGTGCTCAGTGCTTGAGACTGGTCGGGTATCTGTTTTCCATGAGCTCAGCTGTGGAATGCTGCTGCTGGGATTCATCTCAGAGGTCACCTCATAGCCCTGTCTCCTCCTTTTGCAGAAAAGGAAACTGAGGCTAAACATAAAGTAATTTGCTCCGGCCTGTCCATTTGAGGCTCCAGATTCTAGAGCTCTCAGTCCCAGTCCCCGCTGACTCCAGGTGTGATGTTGCCAAGAATGTCCTCTTCTCCCAACCTCTTGCACCGCCATGCCTTTACTCCATCAACCTTGTCCTGACATTTATTAAGTAAGTGTGTCATGAAGTACTCCGGACTGTGCCTTATGCTAGGTGAGAATGTCTTCAAATAATGTCATTGTGGAAGAATCACCTGAGCCCAGGAGGTTGAGGCTGCAGTGAGCTGTGATTGTGCCACTGCACTCCAGCCTAGATGATAAGAGCCTGTCTCAAAAAAAAAAAAAAAAAAAAAAAAAAAAAAAAAAAAAAAGAAAGAAAGAAAGAGAAAAGAAAAGAAAGAGGAGGAATGATACCATTTAAAATTTTTAAACTAAAATGTTTAAAATGTAGCTGTACAGAGGATTCGTTAGTTATTTTTTGGCTTCATTTCAGACTGGTACAAGCATTATCATGGACCAAAACCCTTCTGTGAGCCTGAATTAGACTCGGACCTGTCCCAAGGAGCGCACACTCTGGTCTAAGGTGGGGACCCCACTGCTGCACAGTCCCCTCTGGGAAGGGGCTGCCTGGAGCACTGGAGTCAGGTTGGGGCAGAGTAGAGCCAACCCAGGCCCTTCTCCTGCTGCCCAGTAAAAGAATGGAAGGCTCTGGGAAGGGCTTCTAGGGGCTCTGGCCTCAGTTGTATGACATCATTGTTTCTATCCAGATCCTTCGACCTGCACACTAACCCAAGGCTGTTCAACCTTTGGGGCACTGGCCAAAATGGGCACTTGTACCAGCTTCTTTTCACACTGGCTGTGTGACCTTGGACCAGTCCCTGAATCTCTCTGGGCCCCTTTCCTTGGCTCACTGAGCTAATGTTAGGATAGTCACGAATGTAGCAAATGTACAGTGGTATGGCTCTGGGGGCTTTTTAAGAAGTGACTAAATGTCCCAATTCCAGAGCACTTAGCTTATGCCCTGCTGCTCTGTCTTACGGGTGAAGGGACCAAGGACTAGAGAGAAACAGCGACAGAGACCCACTGCTGGCAGCAGGTACAGAGTTGATGCTGGAGGCTGGGGTCCTGGCTCCCACTCAGAGCGCTCCTCCACACCCCACAGCCTCCAGGTCTTCATCCAGCTTGAGATCTGCCCAGGAATGTAGTTTTTCTGCCAGCCTCTTGCCCTATCAGGCCTTTGCTCCTTAAACCTGGCGTTGGCACCTTCCGCTTTCCACTGAATTCTGCATGTTCGGCTTACTCAGCTCTGTCTTCTCAGGCGCCAGAACATCTAGGCACAGAGCTCGAGTTCCAGATGCCATTGCTTGGCTGCCACTGGGTGGTGGAGACCATTGCTGACCCTCCCTCACCTCCTTCCCATCCTCCCTCATTCCAAAGGCCAGGAGGTACCTCCTCCTCTGGAGAGTTACTCTCCATTGGTTCCTGCAGGCCCCTGGGGGCTCCCATGGCTTTCCAGTGTCACCTCCCCTCCCGCCTGACTCCAGGACAGGGATTGTGGGCAGCCCTGGCCCCTCTGACTCTCAGGAAAACCCGTGTCTTCCCTCCCTCCTCCCCATCCTTTTTATCCTCCCTCCACCATTGGCCCCAGGTCCTCTCCCCTAGCCTTATCTGCCCAGGATCTGACCTGCAGATGCACTCACTCACTGCTCTGCGTGCCTCTGACCCCAGGATGGCATCGCCGCCCAGCCTGCCTGCCCCGGGGCCAGCTCCGGCCTGTTCCCCTTTCCTCTAAAAGCCCCCATGTCTTGAAGCTGATTAAAACAAACACAGCTCATATTTTTGTTCTTAATCCAATTCTGTGCTGGGCTGGGGTCGGAGAGGGAGGATAGGATGACAGAGGCACATTCCTCACTATGCCAGGGGAGGGAGGCAGGGCCAGGTACCCACCAGGAAGTACCCAGAGCTGGAGAGGCCGTGGTCCAAGTGGGGTGCTGGTGGGCATTGGTGGACGGGCCCTTCCCTGGGCAGAACTCAGCTGCTGCTCCCCGGGAGTGTGAGGGGTGCAGCAGGGTCAGAATTTCTCCTGGGCTTTCCCAGAGAGGGGGGCAAGAGGCCCTCCCAGGAACAGCCAGTGGGCTGGGGTGGGGAGGGCTCCCAATAGAGGCCTTTATTCTCTCTTTTCTGGAAAGAAGACAGGATCCTCTTGTCTCAGCCGACCCCTTCCCGTTCTATCCCTCCCCAACACTTCGCCTTGGAGTTCCTCAGGACACACAGACCCAGATATGTGCCTTGGACCCCTTCATATCCCGTAGGCAGGGCTCACAGGCCTCTGAGTGTGGGGGAGAGAGTGTGCAGTGGTGCATACAGTCTGGAGGCTCAGCAAGTGACTGCGTTTCAGTCTTGTTCTACTACTTGCTAGTTGTGTGACCGTGGGCAAATTCTTTAATCTCTTTGCACCTCAGTTTCATCATCTGTAAAATGGGTGCGGTACTAGTACCTACCTCGTGGGATCATTGTGGAGAAGTATGGACCTGGACTGTGGACATGAAGAACAATAGCTGGCATCGTATTACAGGCTACATTAAACATGCTATCTAAAAATACAGTAACGGCATGAGCGTGCCTAATACTATGCGTGGCACGTGTTGATTGGATCTTAAAACTGTGTGATTTCATTGCTAACTGAAACCTTAGCAGATGATTTTGTCTAGGAGGGGAGGGAAGAGCTAGTTAAAGCAAGTAAAAAGGAAAGGAAAAGGAGAAAAAAAAGAATGATTGGAGGAGAAGAGGAATGAGACTGAAGAATATGGAAAAGAAAGAGTGAAGAGGGGCAGGAAAAACTGCCAGGAAGGTGGGGCGCAGGCAGAGAGGAAGGGAAGGAGGAGAAGAAAGCAAGCTAGATAAGAGGAAGAAGCGGGGTGGGGCTGGTGGTTGAAAGATGGGAAGGGCCGGAAGAGAGAGGACGGCTGATGAGGGGCCTCAGTGACTGCCTTGGGAATCTGCAGGGCTAGGGTTTCTTCCCTCTCCACCAGAACATAAGATTTCTTCTTCCCTGTTCTCTGGAACAGCCTCACGCCCACCTCCCATCCACCACCCCTACCCCTGCCTTGCACTTACAGTCAAGATCCCTGAGAGAGGTTTTTGGATTAGTTAGGATCAGAGGACCAGGTGGGGAAAATCTCTCTTGGCCAGCAGATTTACAGTAGGTTCATAGAACGGCAAATCATACTCTTTCAGGGCTAAAAAAGATGCTGGCCATCGTAGCTCACCTGCCTGGCCTCCTCCAGAAGGGCCTGTGTACCTCTCAGGACAGGGCCCTCACCACTCACTCAGAAGTGTTTATCAGGCCCCTTCCAAGGCTGAGCTACAGCTACTGTGGCTGCAGATCAGTCAAATGATAAATAACAATTTTGTGGGTATTTAATTGTTTTTTGCCCCACAAGAAGGACAGAGGGCAAATCAGAGAGGGACCTAGAGTATGCTGGGCCACAGTGGGTGTCTGAAGCGTCAGTCTGTCTAATTGGTCATCATTGCCTCCCAGGTTCCAGGGGTCTTTCGTCCTCCTTCCACACCCCATGGCCACTTGGCTTGGGCTGTGACAGTTCCCCACACCACAGCTAGAAACCAAGATGTGTCAGCAGGTCAGAGGAAGGGAGACTAGAGATGGCCCATAAAAATCTTGGGCTCCCTGTAAATGCAGAGAGGGTCTTTGAAAGCCCAAAGCACTTTTATATGCTAGTTAAAGGGCCTTCCTGTTGTGTCGCCAGGATTTATAGGGATGTGGGTTGGGGAATGGGGGAAGGTGAGGCCACGTGCAGTCGCTACCTACTGATACACTCCACTCCCTGGGCTTTTTGGAGCTGCTACTCTCTGGGTTCCAGAGGAGAAGGGAGGAAGGGGATGACTTAGCAACTTCTTGGCTGTCACACTCCATTTACCAAGCAGGGACTCTGAGGCTCCTCCTTGATGCTTTAAGATCCTGAACCAGCCCCCTGGGGCCACATTGATGACCAAGGCAGAAAACACATATTCCAGGCCAGCAGGGTCTCCAGCCAGGGAGAAGGAGGCGCCAAGACAGAGACAGAGCTGTCGAAGCAGAAGCCAGGGTAACAGTGTACATTCTAAGCACGCAGGACTAGGAAATCCATGGCAAGTCTTGCCCATCCCAAGGGATCACAGGGAGCGAGCAGGTGTCGATTCTGTGAGTTGGGGATGCCCATCCATCCACCTGCCTCCTCGTGACACCCTGTAGGAATGTGACGTTCATGAATTTAAACTTAAAAAGGCTGGCACGGTGGCTCACACCTGTAATCCCAGCACTTTGGGAGGCTGAGGCTGGTGGATCCCTGGTGCCCAGGAGTTGTAATAAGCTTGGACAACATAGTGAGGTCCTGTCTCTATTAAAAAAAAAAAAAAGAAGAAGAAAAAGCTTCACACAATCAATGTGTTCTTCCAGCCCACTCTCCCTCGTGGAGTTATGAGCTGCATATTTTACTTTTTCTCTGGGAAAGGAGGACCCTCCCTGTCCGGTGTCAGGGGAGGAAGCTGCCCCATCCTGCTCTTCCACAGCAGCCTACTGGGCCTGTCACAGTGTCACTTACAGACCGTGGGTTCCCCTTCTAGACTGAGCTCAGTGCCGGTGTTCACTGCTGCCCCCAGAGCCAGGCCTGATGCTGGGGGCTTCCTGCACATGGCCCCCTTTCACCCTCCCTCTGCCCTGCCAGGGAGATGCTAGAGTTCAGGATGAGGAGAGCTGGCACCTGCCAACCTCTTCTTTATCAGCCCTCTTCAAGAAGCAGCACACACATTCTCTCCTTTAATCCTTCTGGCCTCCCTGCTGGGTCCCCAATTTATATGTGAGGAAATGGAAGCTCAAGGAAGTTGGGTAACTGGGGGAAGTTCTAACCAGGTGACGCCCGGCCCAGAGCTGTTTTCCTCTCCTCTTGTGTCATCTGAGCTGTAGGTCTCCTGATCTTCTCCTTCCAGGACACCAGAACATGGAGAAAATCCCTGCTCCCTGCGGATGTCAGAGATGCCCCAGCCTTTGCTGCTCAGACCCACATGTCTGTCTGTCTGTCCTGCTGCCCATGCCCTTGGTGGCTCTGGCTGCTCGTCCAGATTGTCTTCATCCTCATGGGGATCTCCCATTCCTCCTGGGAGCAGCAACCAGAAGTACACTCAGTTTCCTGGGTCTGGGGCTCCAGGGCTCTGTACCCAGGCGGGAGGACTTCTGCACTGACCTCACCATGACCTCCGTCTCCAGCCTGCTGGCCAGGGGTGCCCATGGCAGCCTCAGGCCTCTGACGTTCTTCCTTGATGCTGCAGTTTCCCTCTGCTCCTCTGTGACCCTATTGAGTTTCCCCAGGTCCGGCCAACCAAACACTGCCATATGGGGGAGAGTTACATTTCCTGTGTATGTGTCAAAATATCTGAGCGGATGTGAAATAGATCAGACATGTATAAAAATAAACTTTTATGGGGTGACTGACTACTCCCCTCCAGGGAGAACCAGCGATTCACTCTTCATCTGGGGCCCGGAATCTTGGCTGGGGCCTTGGGGACCACTCCCCATGCCTGGTTCCCCACGGCCATTCTGCTTTACTTCCTTGGGCTCAGGGCCAGCTCCTCTCCTGGAAAGCATTGTCCCCAGGGCTCTGCAGGCCTGGAAACCCCTCCCCAATGGGCCTGGAGTTAGCAAATCACCTCTTTGGGCCCCACTTTCTTGATGGGGGTGGTCGGGCCTGCTTTTTCAGCTTGCTGTTGTCTCTGACAATCCATGACTCTACAGCCTGTGAGTCCCCAGGCTCGGGTATGGCAGGACCATCCAGTCACCTATTCTGGTTTTTCAGGAAGCAACATCCCCAGCCTTATATCAGAAATTAGGAGAGTCATTCTCAATCCTCTGAACTCAGATGTCACGCCTTGCAGAGAAGTAGGGGAGGGGTGAGGTGTCAGTGGAGCTTGAGAGGGTGCACTATGGTTTTGGATAGCTCCAGAGATTCCTGCCTTGACCGCTAACTGAGATCCTGAAGTGGCTTGGACAGAAGACCCTATCTGTTAACCCGTGTGATTCCTGCCACATCCCATTCTAGCGCCATTGGTTCCTGTCTCATAAAGAATACAGTCTGGCTGTGACATCTACCTTTGCCCAGCCAAGGGGCTGGAGGGGCCCAGTGCTAGAAACCCAATGCCTGGCATACAAGCTTAGTCAGTACCCAGAGGCTGGGTGCTCATTTCTGTTTTCCTGCGGCTGCATCCTGGTTGGAGGGCTCTTCCTTCTTCCTGACTGGGCTACCCACAGGCAGGGAGGGAGCCCAGGGCCACCCCACATGACTCTCCCACCCTGCTTCCTGGCCTCCAGGACATCACTGCAGATACACCACTCCCAATAGAGATTGGCATTGATGGGCAGCTGCCATCCTGCCAGGAAGCTGGTGCCCAAAGTTTGGGCTGTGGGACTGGCCCTCAGCCTCAATTCAGCCATGCCCTCCCATCACCTGAGCTCTGCTCAGTTCCTCTCACTCCTCCTTTGAGTACCTTGTGTCCAGGTCAATTGCAAATGCCAGAGATGGTTTCAGGCCAGCAGTTATTGAACCTGGGATCCAGGCTTCTGCTGGGTGGGAGACAAAGGGAGGCAGTTCTTTGGAGAGGCTAAAGGAGAGGCAGGGCTGACAGCTGTTTCCCTGGTCTTGCTCTAGTTTTCTCCAGGGCAAAGATCCCACGTGCCATTCTTGCCAGCCCCTGCCACCCTCAGTTCTGTTGCCAGATGCTCTATACTCCCCACTTTGCCATGAGCCCTGTCCCTTCCAAGACACTTACCTCTTAATCAGGTCCCTGTTAGTGAAAGTAATGGGATGATTTATCTACGGGTCCTGGGAGCATTTATTACGGAATATACTTAATATACAAAAGGTTGTCAGTCCAGTGTGATACTTGAGGGCAGAAGCTCATATTGGTGACCCCTGGGGTGGCCATCAGCTAGGAGGATTTCAGGCTGCTGGTGCAGCAGCTAGTCACTTGGGTTTTGATACCAGGAATGACTCCATTGAAGTAGTTCCAATGGTCTAATATGGAGCTTGAGACGGCCCCTGATCAGGCCAGGTTTTTCCATACAGTCTGTGCCGCTCCTAGGATCATCCAGTCGGCTGTTGGCTGGATTTACATTTTCTCCCTCTCGCTTTTGGCTCCAGCTTCTTCTGATGCCTGGCTGCAAGTGGTTAGAGCTACCAGCTAGAATAGCAGGAAAACAAAATAATAGGCCAACCCTAATTGTAACCCTAACCCAACATCTCACCTGCCAAGTGGCCTTCCTTGGGGTTAATCAAGCCTAAGTCAAATCCAAGTTTACTAGCCCCCTTGTTCAGCTGTAATTCAGTCTCCCTTCCCCTTGCCTGTCTCACAGGCTCCCCCAAGCCCAGCGTCACTGTCTGTTCCCAGCTTTCTCATTCTTTTTCCCTTGGTCCTTCGCTTTGGTTCCCGCTTCCTCTGGGCAGAGGTCATGCAGCTTGTTACATGCCATCTTCCTTGGCAGGAGCCTGCTTTCCTCAACTGACAGAAGGGATCTTGTTGGCAAGAATCTTACCCAAGGACTGGCCTTAGCACCCTAAGGCCAAGAGTCAGGCTGAAAGGCTAGCACAAGCCGCCCTGATGAAAGACCAGCTTTTGTATCTCGCCAGGGGCATCAAGGGCTCTCTGGTCC